AAAGGAAAGGAAAGGAAAGGAAAGGAAAGGAAAGGAAAGGAAAGGAAAGGAAAGGAAAGGAAAGGAAAGGAAAGGAAAGGAAAGGAAGGAAAGGAAGGAAAGGAAAGGAAAAGGAAAAGGAAAGGAAAGGAAAGGAAAGGAAAGGAAAGGAAGGAAAGGAAAGGAAAGGAAAGGAAAGGAAAGGAAAGGAAAGGAAAGGAAAAGGAAAGGAAAGGAAAGGAAAGGAAAGGAAAGGAAGGAAAGGAAAGGAAAGGAAGGAAAGGAAAGGAAAGGAAAGGAAAAGGAAAGGAAAGGAAAGGAAAGGAAAGGAAAGGAAGGAAAGGAAAGGAAAGGAAAGGAAAGGAAAGGAAAGGAAAGGAAAGGCATCAAGTTGCACTAAGGGAAGTTTAAGTGGAATATGAGTAAAAAATTATGCAAGAAAAGCATTGTTGAGCATTGGGATGAGCTGCCCAGGACAGCTGGAGTCTCCATCCCTGCAAGGATTTAAAAGCTGTGCAGATGTGGCACTTGGGGACATGGGGCAGTGGTGGCCTTGGCAGTGCTGGAGGAACGGTTGGTCTTGATAACCTTAAAGCCTTTTCCAACCTAAATTATTCCATGATTCCAAGACAGATACCAGGACACATCGGAGCTGAGTGCACAAAGAGAGGGTGAGGGTGGCTGTGGAATCCTGAGCCCACAGCTGTGAGACTGGCGTCAAAGCACGGTGGTTTCTGCTCTGCTGAACTCCAGGATGGGATCATGGCTGGGTGCCATTGTCCTGTCAGTTCCAATTTGCAGCCCCCTGATCTGGTGGGGTCCAGCAGAGGCTGCAGGTGAGCTGGAGCCTTGTGCTGAGCAGTGCCTAACCCAGCTGTTGCCAGCTTAAACCTTCAAAATCACATTACCCTCATAAAATTCGCAGTCCTGGAGCTCTCCAGGTAGCACGAAGCAGAGGAGCTGCCTTCTTTCCTGATGCCCAGCCTGTGTTTCCCTTACCCTTCACCATGGAGATTTTTTTGTTTGTTTAATATTTTATTCTAAAAAAACTGAAACACCTCCACAATAGGCTCCAAATTGTGGGAGTCCAGGGCATCCCTCTGGCTGCCCTGGCAGGTCTGGGACCCTGGCAGGGGTCAGGAACCCCCCTGGACAGAGCCCCCAGAGACACTGGCTGTGATCTCTGTCCATAGAAAAGAATTTTCAATCTTACAGGATGAATTACAAGCTCTGAGTGTTTGATATGAGTAATAATTAAGTGTGGCACGGGTGCAAAAGTAAAATTTTAGGGTTTTAGATAAGGGGTTCAAAGGGGACAAGATGGAGGAAATTGGGTCTGTCTTGTCCTTTTTCTTCTTCTTCATGCCCTCCACGTTTCACTGAGGTGTTGGCATTTTTCTGTTGGTTTAGGCTGGGGACACACTGTCCAACATAGGTGACAGATATTGGCACGTTATTGTAAATCCAGCACAGGTAGTTTGTGGTATTTAATGTTTGTACCATCCCACTGAGGGCAGAGCCCCACACGCTGCCCTGCAGGACAGAGCTGCGGCAGGGCAGCAGAACATGTTAGAGATAAACAGAATAAACAACCTTGAAACAGCACAGACGAATTATGGCTTCTTCTTTGGCAACGGGGCAAAAAAGACAGAGACTTTCTACAATCTCAGAATCATCAATACCTCAGATTCCGACACCAAATAAATAAATAAAACAAGCAGGCACATTCTTTTCCAGCCCCCCTCTGGCCAGGGAGGTGACATGGCACTGAATGTAAGTGATTCCCAGCAGTCAGTGATGGAGCAGGAATATTGGCTTTCTGTGGGCTCCAGTACTTTTCCATGAGCATTTGAGTCTGACTGGATTTTAATGATGGGTTATGCTGCACTCAGTTGAAATGAGTTGGATACTTGTATCTGCGTGGTGTTAATCAGATAAATCACTATAAGAAAATGATATTCAGCTTCTGACCAGCCTCAGGCTGCTTTTGGGGGAGCTGCTGGTGTGGCCAATCCAGAGACAAATACAGGAGGTGGAGGAAGCAGCTCTTGAAGGACCAAAATTTGGGTGGGGAGCCACCAGCTGTGCCCTGGTGAGGACACCTCCGCCTGATCCCCAGCACTGGGAGAAGGGAAGTTGTGGGCAAGGAGGAGGGACATGCCCAGGGTAGAGAAAACCTCCAAGGGTGGGTCTTGGGACCATGTTTAACATCAGCCCCAGCCCAGACTGCCTGTGCCAAGGAAATGTGAACTGGCAGGGAGTTGAGGAGCATTGCCAGTGTGGAGGAAAACAGGACAATGTCCCAGAAAGAAGTGGAAGATCCCCAAGTGCAGATACCAGATAAAAATTGTTAGCATGGAGTCCCAGCATCACTTGCTTTGGGGTCTAATAAGAATTTCTGCTAGAAACTGGGATCCTGTCTTCCTAGGATGGGCAGGAGGCAGAATTTTGTGTGCACAGGTTTGTCTCCAAGCTGTGGGGAGCTGTAATGTGATGCAGCCGTGGCAAAGAGGAATGTGATGAGTAGCTGACCCAAGGAGTTATTTTCAGAAGTAAAGGGGACACCTAGTCACATTGCAAAGCACTGCCCTGGCACCTCCTTTGGGGCAGGCCCTGTGCACTGTTTCAATCCACACTGAAGAGAGCAGGGAGAAGAAATTCCAGTTATCCAAGTCTGGCACTGTCCAATTTATGAGAGGAGGCAACAGGACCTTGGCTGGCGTAGGGCAGCAACATTTCCAAATTGGAAATTCCCAGAAATGGTGGATAATGAAAGTTGTTTCATACTCAGGAATAGAGAAAACATAAAGCTGGGAAAGGAATTTATTCCAGAGGAAGGGGCAAGAACATCTCTTTGGCAGATGTGCACTGAGTACAACAAGTGTCAGGAGGAACATGGGATGTAAAGCAAGGACAGACAGCAAATACTGGGTATGCAGGACCTGGAGTGTGCCAGAGGCACCTGGAAAGAGGGAATTCAGCCAGTGCTAAATGTCCTTAGCAAATTATCCAGCACGCCTGTTCTCAACAGTGCATTTTTAACCCGTGGTGATCTTTTCCCAGCTGTTACTATTCCAAACCTCAGCATCACCCTCTTGCCTAAGAGGAAGAGCTAAAAACACAAATATTTTGGTGCCTTCAGCCTGAAGGGGTCGTGTTGAAATCCTGTCTGCTACAACTGGAAGCTCAGAGAGCCGGGCAGACACTTGATCCCTGTGGCGTCAGTGTCGGGATCATCCCCGGGAGGTGACGGAGCCTCTTTGGGTGAGGGACAGAGGACAGAGCCCACCCCACAGTGCCCAGGCTGGCAGCAGGGCTTGGCCACATGCCATGGATGAAGAGCAGAGACTCCTGCAGGGTGCCCTGTCAGGCTGTATTTTTGGTTTCCAAATTAGATGCTGAACCGGCGGCAGACACTCAGGAAGTTCTGCCTTGCTTGAGGCCATCACCTGTGTGATTATGTCCCTGTGCTCCACAGGTGAGATCCCACCTGCAGAGCTGCCCCAGCTCTGTCCCAGCCCAGGAGGAGCTGGAGCTGCTGCAGAGAGCCCAGAGGAGGCTCCAGGATGAGCAGAGGGATGGAGCAGCTCTGCTGGGAGGAAAGGCTGGCACAGCTGGGATTGTTCCCCTGCACAGGAGAAGCTTTGGGCTGAGCTCAGGGTGGCCTTGCAGGGCCTGGAGGAGCCCCAGGAAAGCTGGAGAGAGACAATTTCCAGGGCATGGAGGGACAGGGCACAGGGAATGGCTTCAAACTGACAGAGGGCAGAGTTAGTTTGGATATTTGGAACCCCTCCCGCCCGGCCCAGGGCTGCTGGAGGCAGGCAGGGCTGCAGGAACAGCCCCGGCCCGGCTCCCCGGCCACGGGCAGCGGCAGAGCGGGGCTCCGCTGCCTTCGCTGTGCTGCCTGCACAGCCCTGCTGCAAAGGGCTGCCCGGCACAGCTCTCTGCCAGCCGGGCTCAGCCTGCGCCTCCCGTTTGCCTGCAGAGAGCAGCGACAGCCCTGCCCCGCCGGCCCGGCCGGGAACTCTCCCGCTGCCGCTGGGGCTGAGCCCGCGCTGCCCGCGGGGCGCTCCGGGGCTCGGGCTGGGACAGTGCATCGGCACCTCGGACAGGACACGGAATCTGGGCACTCTGCTCTGGGGCCTTACCGACGGTGTTAGCAAACACACAGATTCTTCAATAACGGGAACAGCGTGGGGACATTATAATATGTTGTAATTACAACATAATGTATACTAATGCTTTTATTTCATAGACTGAAATAGAAATATACAATATGTAATAAAAAAAAATTATCTTCTAATTTTACTTATTCCTTATATTTTCTCTTCATTTTTCTATTCTTATTCTTCTTATGGCTCTTCTTCTTCCTACTCTTTCTTACTATTCTTCTTCTTTGCTACTTCTATGTATCTTTATATTCTAATTCCTATTCCTATTATTCTTCTACATATTTTAAAATTCTTATTCCTATTCTTCTTCTTCTACATATTATGAAATTCTTATTCCTTTTCCTATTCTTCTTCTAAGTATTTCTAAATTCTTATTACTATACTTCTATCTATTCTTAAATAAACGTTCTATATCTTGTCTTTTTAGTCTTCATCTGTCTTCTTCCTCTTTGTTGTCTTCTTCATCTTCTTCATCCTATTTGTCTTCATCTTCTTCTCTGTCTTCATCTTCTTCATCTGCTGTGTTGTCTTTGTCCTCTTTTTCTGTGTCATTGTCTTCATCTTTGTCTTTGTCTTCTTTTCCGTTGTCCCGGAGGGGTTTGTGCTGAGTCTGTTCCAGGAGCCTCTGCTTTGTGCCCAAGAAATTGTTGCTGCACCTTCCAGGCCCGGGGCAGGGATGGGGGAGCTTTGGCCTCTTTGGGTGGGCATTTTCCAAGCATCACTGCCCAGATCTTCGTGGCTGTGCCTGCTTGGGTTTTGCTTGGCTTGGTTGGCCCACCCAAAGGCTTTTCTCTTCTCTGATTTGGAGGAGCTGCAGCAGCAATTTCTGAGCCCCTTGAGCCGAACCGATCAGCTGCTGCTCCGACACAGAGGAGTGGGACTGGCAGGAGCAGTCATCTTCATCTTCCTGATGTTCACCTTCCTTCTCTTCATCCTCGTCACCCTCTCCCATGTCCGTTTTACTCCTCGGTCCGTGGCCTGAGGCAGGGACAGCGGAACAGCCCCCGCAGCGCCCGCAGCGCCCGCCTGAAGCGGGAGGGACGTTTCCCGGGGGCAGCCGGCTGCCCGCGGAGGGCCTGGGCTCCCAGCCGGGCAGGCCAGGGGCTGGGGGGGGCTGTGCGGGGCAGGCGCCGGCCCTTGGCTGCACGGCTCCTGTGCCGGGCACTCAGCCCAGGCCTCCCGAGGGACGGGCACTGGGAGCCCCTCTGCCACTAAAACTTTCCATTTCTGGTCTTGCTTGTCTTCTGGGGGCAGCTCCAGGAGGCTCACCTCGTCCCACTCATCATCCTCGGGGCACAAGGGCTTGGCCAAGATGACGTGCTCAGGCCAGTTCTCCTGCATGAGCCTCGTGTCACTGTCATTTTCCCAGCTGGAGAGTCCTGAGGGTCTTCTGCCATTCTCACTGGACACATTTTGGGCATGATATTCTTCCCAGTCTGAATGTTCTGCACAGCTGATGACATCTCCTCCGGACAGCACTTGCTCAATGCATTCTTCCCAGTCTGAGGGGCCCTGGGAGCTGCTGACTTCTCCCTGGGACAGGTCTTGGTCCAAATATTTTTCCGAGTCAAAGAGTTGGTGGTAACTCCTGACCTCCCCATGGGGCAGATCTTCCTCTCTGCATTGTTCACAGCAGGACGCTTCCTGGGACAGCTCTGGGTCTCCATCCGGGAAAGGCTCCAGGTCATACAAAAATTGCCAAAATTTGTTTTCCTCATCAGAGCCGTCCCTCCTGTCCTGCATTGCCAGCACTGACCCCGCTGCTGCCTCCTCAGCAGCTCCGGACGGGGCAGCAGCTGCCGGCTCGGCCTCCGTGGGACTGCCGGGGGCAGGAGAGGCGCTGGGCAGGGCAGGGACTGCCTCTGCTGCCACCTCTGTGCCCACGGGGCTGGCAGAGCTGGGCCCCTCTGGGGGAAGAGCCGTGCTGTCCTCGGGACTGAGCTTGATGGCCGCTTCCACTTTGGACTGCTCCTCAGCAGTCGGGATGTGCCGGGAAACGACCATGATGTCCTCTACTACAGGGGACAGCTTCTCCTCTCTTGTGCTGTCCCCTTCAGGGAGCTCAATGTCCTCTTCCACTGAGGACAGCTCCTGGTCACTCATGCTGTGCTCTGGAACAGCCTCGATGTCCTCTTCCACTGAGGACAGCTCCTGGTCACTCATGCTGTCCTCTGGAATGCCCTCCAGGTCCTCATCCACTGAGGACAGCTCCTCATCCCTTGTGCTGTCCTCTGGAACATTCTCAATGGCCTCTTCCACTGAGGACAGCTCCTGGTCACTCGTGCTGTCCTCTGGAATGTTCTCGATGGCCTCTTCCACTGAGGACAGCTCCTGGTCACTTGTGCTGTCCTCTGGAACGTTCTCGATGGCCTCTTCCACTGGGGACAGCTCCGGGTCACTTGTGCTGTCCCATGGAATATCATCAATGGCCTCTTCCACTGAGGACAGCTCCTGGTCACTTGTGCTGTCCTCTGGAACGTTCTCGATGGCCTCTTCCACTGAGGACAGCTCCTCGTCCCTTGTGCTGTCCTCTGGAACAACCTTGATGGCATCTTTCACTGGGGACAGCTCCTGGTCACTTGTGCTGTCCTCTGGAATGTTCTCGATGGCCTCTTCCACTGAGGACAGCTCCAGGTCCCTTGTGCTGTCCTCTGGAACAACCTTGATGGCCTCTGCCACTGGGGACAGCTCCGGGTCACTTGTGCTGTCCCATGGGATGTCCTCAATTGCCTCTTCCACTGAGGACAGCTCTGGCTCATTATTGCTGTCCCCTGGAGAGAGCTCGATGACCTCTTCGACCTGGGACAGCTCCTCGACACTGGATGAGGAACAAGTCTGGGTGTTCTTCTCCTCCTTCACTGAGTCCAGTGGCTTCTCCAAAGAACTGGAGCTGACATCATCCTCCCAAGGGAACAGCTCTTGGTTTCCCAAATCTTCCCCTTGGGACAGGAGAGCCTCAGGGGGCTCCTCCTCCTCCTCAGTATCTCCAGCTGGGGCAGCAGCTGCCGGCTCGGCCTCCGTGGGACTCTGTGGGGCAGGAGAGGTGCTGGTTAGGGCAGGCACTGCCTCTGCTGCCACCTCTGTCCCCACGGGGCTGGCAGAGCTGGGCCCCTCTGGGGGACAAGGCTGAGGCTCCTCGTCCCTCACTGGGCACAAGGGTCTGTCCCAGATCTCAGAGCTGATGTTGTGTCCCCATTGGGACAGCTCCTGCCTGCTCACATCTTCCTCCCTTTGGGACAGCTTTCGCTCACTCACATCGTCCCACCGGGGCAGCTCTTGGGCTGCAGCGTCTGCTCCTTGGCACAGCTCCCTGCCACTGCTGTCTCTCACTTGGGACAATTCCAGCTCTCTCCTGTCTTCCTACTGGGACATGTGGCAGTGCACACCCTGTCCCCATGCTGAGAGGTCTTGGTACCTCTCACCTTCCCTCTGGGAACGCTCTTGGGCATCATCCCATTGGGAATCCTCTGGGACACTCAGATCTCTCTGCAGGGACAGCCTTTGTGGCATCTCTCATCTTCTCCCCATCCCATCTCCTGCCACCCACTCTCATCTATTTCCCACTGGGAAATCTCCTGGGTTGTCACACGTTCTTCCCTCTCCCACCCTTCTTGGTACATCTCACTGTCTTCCTCCCACTGGGACAGCTCCTGAGCTCTGATGGCTTCTTCCCCTTCATAGAGCTCTTTGTGTCCCACCTCTGTAGTGGGAAACGTCCCAAACTCTCACACGTACCTGGCCTTGGTTCAGCTCTTGGCTGCTCCTCATTCCCTGCCCGGACATTTCTTGGGCTCCTGGAACTTCTCTCTGGTTGGTCGCTTCCATGTCTTCCCTCCGGGAAAGATCTTGGCCCATTTTGACAAAGAGTCTCTCCTCCTCCTCAGTCTGTGAAAGCAGCAGGACTGAGCTGCCCACTGCCCCTGACCACAGCTCGCTGGTGGCTTCCAGCCAGCTGGGCAAGGAGCTGTGGGACCGGGAGTTGGAGTTACCTTTGTCTTCCTCGCTGTTGCTGTCTGTCACTGTCAGCCGCTATCGCTGTTGGCGTCTGGTGCAGACAGAACCAGGGAGCTGCGTCCTCTTCAGAGAGCGGCTCTCCTGGAACTGGGCACCCCAGGGCTCCGCGCCCCTTGGAGACCCTCAGCCCAGGTGGAACTCCCTGATGTCACAAGGGTCTCTGGCCACCACCAGGTCCCACATCACAAAGGGCCACCCCGGAACCCCAACAGCAGTGGAGCACACAGGAACCTGTTGCGATTTGTGTTTATTTCATTAAGTTATTGTTAAATGGTTCATTCTGTTATCCCCCCACATCTTCCCCAAGTTGTTTTTTTCCCTATGTTGTACACTCCCTTTAAAGCTGTCCCTCAAGTTATTCCCCTCCCTTGGTCCCAGTCCCTTCCCTGCCTGTCCAGGTAACCCTGTCCCTTTTTCCTGAATGTTCCCTGCCACTCAGCCCCTGGGCCAACCCCTGATTGAAACCCTCACTTGGAAATCCCCTAATCCAGGATGCCCCATTGGCCCCTGTGCCTTTCCCTCTGCTCCCCCGATCCTGATTGTCCCACAGTGTTGCTGTAATCCCCTCACTTCTGCCCTGAGGATTCCCTGTTGCTTCGCTGTTAGTACCCACTGCCTGACTTGGATCTGAGCAAAACCCCTTGCAAACGAGGGTGAGGGGCTCTTTTTTATCCTGCTCTCTCCACCTCGAATAAGCTTTCCCTATGGAAGCTCAAGGTAAAGAGGCTCCTCCTTCCTCCTGGGCCTGCTCCCTGCCGTGGCTGTAACAGCGTGCAGGGCAGAGCTCGCAGCTCTCCAGGTTCAGCTGTGGGCAAAGCCCAGTCCCCAGCTGTTCCCCAGTCCCGTCGTGGCTGCCGGAGCGCACAGAGCCAGCCCGGGTTGCGGGGGGCTTGGGCAGGAGCTGGCTGGGAGCATCCCCGGAGCGGTGTCCTGGCGGGCCCGGCTGTGCCCCGAGCCCTGCGAGGCTTTGGCCCCGCTGGCACACGGCAGCCCCGGCCCCGCAGTGCCGAGCCCCGGCTTTGCAGGCTGCGCTGCCCAGGGCACGAGGAATTGGCCGCACGGCCGTGCCGGGGGCTCGTGGGCAGCGGCTCCAGGAGCCGCGGCAGCCCGGGGAGCAGGGGTGTCCCTCAGGGCTGTGCCCGGGCACCGGGGCTCGGCCCTGCCCGCAGCGGGGGCACCGAGCGCGGCCTCGGCGCCCGGGCAGGGCACGGGCAGCTGAGCGGGGCAGGGGCAGCCCCAAGGCCGGGGCCGTGCCCGGGCACCGGGCCGAGCTGGAGAAGCGGCACCGCCAAAGCCTCCTGCGCTGCCGCAGGGCCGGGCCCGGCTGCTGCCCCCGGCCCGGGGCAGTGCCCGAGGCAGCGGCTCCTGCGGCTCTCCCCTCGCCTCTGCGGCGCCACGGGCACAGCGGCCGGGCCGGGGCTCGCTCCCCGCTGCCGGCCGGGCGCTGCCGAGGGCTCCCCGCCCGCCGGGGCCGGGGCCGGGCGCTGAGGGAGCGGCGCCGCCATCGCTGCCGCCCTCAGGGGCTCTGAGGGGAGCGCGGCTCCAGCCAGCCCCGCTCCGCCCGCACGGGCAGCGCAGACCTGGAGCACAAAGACACACGGCGCTGCCATTGTGTCCGAGCCCTTCAAATGCACCCGCACAGCGGCCCCAGGGGCTGCGCTCGGCCGCGGCAGCAGCGCTCCAGGGCCGAGCTCTCTGAGATGTGACACTAAACCCACAGGCTTTAGTCTGGGAGCAATAAATGAATGTTTCAGTCTTCTTGGGATAGAAAACCACTTTTGATTGCATTGTTCTGTCGTACACTGGTTTGAAAAGACATCCTAAATACTAAACTGGTATAATTAGAGGTCCCTGTGTGTCAAAAGTCATCAAACTTCCCTCCTGCTGCTCCCACTGAGAGAATGCTGGCCTAGGGACTCTGTGCTGTTGGATTTTGGGTGAGGGAGGAGGGAGACACTTGGACACAAGAAATGGGCAAACCTCCAGTCCCAAATATTCGTGAGGGATTTGTCATCCTTCAGTAATTCCTTTTCAGTTCTGGAAAGCAGATAGCAGGAGGAGAGGGCCTAGGAAAGGAGCAATCCTTCTGTACCCCCTGCCAGGAGGGGACAGCCGGGGGGTCGGGCTCTGCTCCAAGGGAACAGGGACAGGACAAGGGGAAACGGCCTCAGGCTGGGCCAGCAGAGGCTCAGCTTGGACAGCAGCAGCAATTTCCCCATGGAAAGGGGGCTCAGGCCTTGGCAGGGGCTGCCCAGGGGGGTTTGGAGTGCCCATCCCTGCCAGGGAAGGCCTGGAGGTGGCACTGAGTGCTCTGGGCTGGGGACAATGTATGTGGGCATGGGGCCCAGCTGGGACTCCATGGGCTGGGAGAGCTTTTCCAGCCCCAGGGATTCTGGGTTTCTGTGAGAGTTCTCCCAGCAGAAAGAAAAGCCAATCCCGGAGAAAGGCCCTGTCCTGGAGCAGCAGAGGAGCAGCCCCGAGGCTGGAGGAGCCAGGAGCGGGCTCCAGGCACGGCTGCTCAGCCCTGAGCCCTGTGGGGCTGCCCAGCAGCAGCAGCAGCAGCAGCAGCAGCAGCAGCAGCAGCAGCAGCAGCAGCAGCAGAGCCCCAGAGCTGCGCTGCTGCTGCGCTGCTGCTGCGCTGCTTTGGGCTCTGTGGCTGCACAGCCCCGTGCAGCTGCTGCCGCAGGGATGTGTCAGGAGCAGCACAGAGCTGCTGCTGCTGCCTCAGCTGGGGCTGCAGCGGGGGAACCCCTCCCGCCCGGCCCAGGGCTGCTGGAGGCAGGCAGGGCTGCAGGAACAGCCCCGGCCCGGCTCCCCGGCCACGGGCAGCGGCAGAGCGGGGCTCCGCTGCCTTCGCTGTGCTGCCTGCACAGCCCTGCTGCAAAGGGCTGCCCGGCACAGCTCTCTGCCAGCCGGGCTCAGCCTGCGCCTCCCGTTTGCCTGCAGAGAGCAGCGACAGCCCTGCCCCGCCGGCCCGGCCGGGAACTCTCCCGCTGCCGCTGGGGCTGAGCCCGCGCTGCCCGCGGGGCGCTCCGGGGCTCGGGCTGGGACAGTGCATCGGCACCTCGGAGAGACAGGACACGGAATCTGGGCACTCTGCTCTGGGGCCTTACCGACGGTGTTAGCAAACACACAGATTCTTCACTAACGGGAACAGCGTGGGGGCGTTATGATGCATTGTGATTACAACATATGGTACATAAATGTTTTTATTTCATAACTGTAATAGAAATATACAATATGTAATAAAAATAAATTATCTTCTAATTTTACTTATTCCTTATATTTTCTCTTCATTTTTCTATTCTTATTCTTCTTATGGCTCTTCTTCTTCTTCCTACTCTTTCTTACTATTCTTCTTCTTTGCTACTTCTATGTATCTTTATATTCTAATTCCTATTCCTATTATTCTTCTACATATTTTAAAATTCTTATTCCTATTCTTCTTCTTCTACATATTTTGAAATTCTTATTCCTATTCCTAGTACTCTTCTTCTATGTATTACTAAATCCCTATTACTATATTCTTCTATCTACTCTTAAATAAATGTTCTCTGTCTTGTCTTTTTACTCTTCATCTTTGTCTTCTTCCTCTTTTTTCTCTTCTTCATCTTCTTCATCCTATTTGTCTTCATCTTCTTCTCTGTCTTCATCTTCTTCATCTGCTGTGTTGTCTTTGTCCTCTTTTTCTGTGTCATTGTCTTCATCTTTGTCTTTGTCTTCTTTTCCGTTGTCCCGGAGGGGTTTGTGCTGAGTCTGTTCCAGGAGCCTCTGCTTTGTGCCCAAGAAATTGTTGCTGCACCTTCCAGGCCCGGGGCAGGGATGGGAGAGCTTTGGCCTCTTTGGGTGGGCATTTTCCAAGCCTCACTGCCCAGATCTTCGTGGCTGTGCCTGCTTGGGTTTTGCTTGTCTTGGTTGGCCCACCCAAAGGCTTTTCTCTTCTCTGATTTGGAGGAGCTGCAGCAGCAATTTCTGAGCCCCTTGAGCCGAACCGATCAGCTGCTGCTCTGACACAGAGGAGCGGGACTGGCAGGAGCAGTCATCTTCATCTTCCTGTTGTTCACCTTCCTTCTCTTCATCCTCGTCACCCTTTCCCGTGTCCGTTTTACTCCTCGGTCCGTGGCCTGAGGCAGGAACAGCGGAACAGCCCCCGCAGCGCCCGCAGCGCCCGCCTGAAGCGGGAGGGACGTTTCCCGGGGGCAGCCGGCTGCCCGCGGAGGGCCTGGGCTCCCAGCCGGGCAGGCCAGGGGCTGGGGGGGCTGTGCGGGGCAGGCGCCGGCCCTTGGCTGCACGGCTCCTGTGCCGGGCACTCAGCCCAGGCCTCCCGAGGGACGGGCACTGGGAGCCCCTCTGCCACTAAAACTTTCCATTTCTGGTCTTGGTTGTCTTCTGGGGGCAGCTCCAGGAGGCTCACCTCGTCCCACTCATCATCCTCGGGGCACAAGGGCTTGGCCAAGATGACGTGCTCAGGCCAGTTCTCCTGCACGATCCCCGTGTCACTGTTGTCTTCCCAGCTGGAGAGTCCTGAGGGTCTTCTGCCATTCTCACTGGACACATTTTGGGCATGATATTCTTCCCAGTCTGAATGTTCTGCACAGCTGATGACATCTCCTCCGGACAGCACTTGCTCAATGCATTCTTCCCAGTCCGAGGGGCCCTGGGAGCTGCTGACTTCTCCCTGGGACAGGTCTTGGTCCAAATATTTTTCCGAGTCAAAGAGTTGGTGGTAACTCCTGACCTCCCCATGGGGCAGATCTTCCTCTCTGCATTGTTCACAGCAGGACGCTTCCTGGGACAGCTCTGGGTCTCCATCCGGGAAAGGCTCCAGGTCATACAAAAATTGCCAAAATTTGTTTTCCTCATCAGAGCCGTCCCTCCTGTCCTGCATTGCCAGCACTGACCCCGCTGCTGCCTCCTCAGCAGCTCCGGACGGGGCAGCAGCTGCCGGCTCGGCCTCCGTGGGACTGCCGGGGGCAGGAGAGGCGCTGGGCAGGGCAGGGACTGCGTCTGCTGCCACCTCTGTGCCCACGGGGCTGGCAGAGCTGGGCCCCTCTGGGGGAAGAGCCGTGCTGTCCTCGGGACTGAGCTTGATGGCCGCTTCCACTTTGGACTGCTCCTCAGCAGTCGGGATGTGCCGGGAAACGACCATGATGTCCTCTACTACAGGGGACAGCTTCTCCTCTCTTGTGCTGTCCCCTTCAGAGACCTCAATGTCCTCTTCCACTGAGGACAGCTCCTGGTCACTCATGCTGTCCTCTGGTATTTTCTCGATGTCTTCTTCTACTGAGGACAGCTCCTGGTCACTTGAGCTGTCCTCTGGAATGTCCTCCAGATCCTCATCCACTGAGGACAGCTCCTGGTCACTTGAGCTGTCCTCTGGAATGTTCTTGATGGCCTCTGCCACTGGGGACAGCTCCGGGTCACTTGTGCTGTCCCATGGAATATCATCAATGGCCTCTTCCACTGAGGACAGCTCCTGGTCACTTTTGCTGTCCTCTGGAATGTTCTCAATGGCCTCTTCCACTGAGGACAGCTCCTCGTCCCTTGTGCTGTCCTCTGGAACAACCTTGATGGCCTCTTTCACTGGGGACAGCTCCTGGTCACTTGTGCTGTCCTCTGGAATGTTCTCGATGGCCTCTTCCACTGAGGACAGCTCCTCGTCCCTTGTGCTGTCCTCTGGAACAACCTTGATGGCCTCTTTCACTGGGGACAGCTCCGTGTCACTTGTGCTGTCCCATGGGATGTCCTCAATTGCCTCTTCCACTGAGGACAGCTCTGGCTCGTTATTGCTGTCCCCTGGAGAGAGCTCGATGACCTCTTCGACCTGGGACAGCTCCTCGTGACTGGATGAGGAACAAGTCTGGGTGTTCTTCTCCTTCACTGAGTCCAGTGGCTTCTCCAAGGAACTGGAGCTGACATCATCCTCATCTTCCCCTTGGGACAGGAGAGCCTCAGGGGGCTCCTCCTCCTCCTCAGTATCTCCAGCTGGGGCAGCAGCTGCCGGCTCGGCCTCCGTGGGACTCTGTGGGGCAGGAGAGGCGCTGGTTAGGGCAGGCACTGCCTCTGCTGCCACCTCTGTCCCCACGGGGCTGGCAGAGCTGGGCCCCTCTGGGGGACAAGGCTGAGGCTCCTCGTCCCTCACTGGGCACAAGGGTCTGTCCCAGATCTCAGAGCTGATGTTGTGTCCCCATTGGGACAGCTCCTGCCTGCTCACATCTTCCTCCCTTTGGGACAGCTTTCGCTCACTCACATCGTCCCACCGGGGCAGCTCTTGGGCTGCAGCGTCTGCTCCTTGGCACAGCTCCCTGCCACTGCTGTCTCTCACTTGGGACAATTCCAGCTCTCTCCTGTCTTCCTACTGGGACATGTGGCAGTGCACACCTTGTCCCCATGCTGAGAGGTCTTGGTACCTCTCACCTTCCCTCCGGGAACGCTCTTGGGCATCATCCCATTAGGAACCCTCTGGGACACTCAGATCTCTCTGCAGGGACAGCCTTTGTGGCGTCTCTCGTCTTCTCCCCATCCCATCTCCTGCTGCCCACTCTCATCTATTTCCCACTGGGAAATCTCCTGGGTTGTCACACGTTCTTCCCTCTCCCACCCTTCTTGGGACATCTCACTGTCCTCCTCCCACTGGGACAGCTCCTGAGCTCTGATGGCTTCTTCCCCTTCATAGAGCTCTTTGTGTCCCACCTCTGTAGTGGGAAACGTCCCAAACTCTCACACGTACCTGGCCTTGGTTCAGCTCTTGGCTGCTCCTCATTCCCTGCCCGGACATTTCTTGGGCTCCTGGAACTTCTCTCTGGTCGGTCGCTTCCACATCTTCCCTCCGGGAAAGATCTTGGCCCATTTTGTCAAACAGCCTCTCCTCCTCCTCAGTCTGTGAAAGCAGCAGGACTGAGCTGCCCACTGCCCCTGACCACAGCTCGCTGGTGGCTTCCAGCCAGCTGGGCAAGGAGCTGTGGGACCGGGAGTTGGAGTTACCTTTGTCTTCCTCGCTGTTGCTGTCTGTCACTGTCAGCCGCTATCACTGTCAGCGTGTGGCACAGACAGAGCCAGGGAGCTGCTTCCTCTTCAGAGAGCGGCTCTCCTGGGACTGGGCACCCCAGGGCTCCGCGCCCCTTGGAGACCCTCAGCCCTGGCGGAACTCCCTGATGTCACAAGGGTCTCTGGCCACCACCACGTCCCACATCACAAAGGGCCACCCCGGAACCCCAACAGCAGTGGAGCACACAGGAACCTGTTGCGATTTGTGTTTATTTCATTAAGTTATTGTTAAATGGTTCATTCTGTTATCCCCCCACATCTTCCCCAAGTTGTTTTTTTCCCTATGTTGTAGACTCCCTTTAAAGCTGTCCCTCAAGTTATTCCCCTCCCTTGGTCCCAGTCCCTTCCCTGCCTGTCCAGGTAACCCTGTCCCTTTTTCCTGAATGTTCCCTGCCACTCAGCCCCTGGGCCAACCCCTAATTGAAACCCTCACTTGGAAATCCCCTAATCCAGGATGCCCCATTGGCCCCTGTGCCTTTCCCTCTGCTCCCCCGACCCTGATTGTCCCACAGTGTTGCTGTAATCCCCTCACTTCTGCCCTGAGGATTCCCTGTTGCTTCGCTGTTAGTACCCACTGCCTGACTTGGATCTGAGCAAAACCCCTTGCAAACGAGGGTGAGGGGCTCTTTTTTATCCTGCTCTCTCCACCTCGAATAAGCTTTCCCTATGGAAGCTCAAGGTAAAGAGGCTCCTCCTTCCTCCTTGGCCTGCTCCCTGCCGTGGCTGTAACAGCGTGCAGGGCAGAGCTCGCAGCTCTCCAGGTTCAGCTGTGGGCAAAGCCCAGTCCCCAGCTGTTCCCCAGTCCCGTCGTGGCTGCCGGAGCGCACAGAGCCAGCCCGGGTTGCGGGGGGCTTGGGCAGGAGCTGGCTGGGAGCATCCCCGGAGCGGTGTCCTGGCGGGCCCGGCTGTGCCCCGAGCCCTGCGAGGCTTTGGCCCCGCTGGCACACGGCAGCCCCGGCCCCGCAGTGCCGAGCCCCGGCTTTGCAGGCTGCGCTGCCCAGGGCACGAGGAATTGGCCGCACGGCCGTGCCGGGGGCTCGTGGGCAGCGGCTCCAGGAGCCGCGGCAGCCCGGGGAGCAGGGGTGTCCCTCAGGGCTGTGCCCGGGCACCGGGGCTCGGCCCTGCCCGCAGCGGGGGCACCGAGCGCGGCCTCGGCGCCCGGGCAGGGCACGGGCAGCTGAGCGGGGCAGGGGCAGCCCCAAGGCCGGGGCCGTGCCCGGGCACCGGGCCGAGCTGGAGAAGCGGCACCGCCAAAGCCTCCTGCGCTGCCGCAGGGCCGGGCCCGGCTGCTGCCCCCGGCCCGGGGCAGTGCCCGAGGCAGCGGCTCCTGCGGCTCTCCCCTCGCCTCTGCGGCGCCACGGGCACAGCGGCCGGGCCGGGGCTCGCTCCCCGCTGCCGGCCGGGCGCTGCCGAGGGCTCCCCGCCCGCCGGGGCCGGGGCCGGGCGCTGAGGGAGCGGCGCCGCCATCGCTGCCGCCCTCAGGGGCTCTGAGGGGAGCGCGGCTCCAGCCAGCCCCGCTCCGCCCGCACGGGCAGCGCAGACCTGGAGCACAAAGACACACGGCGCTGCCATTGTGTCCGAGCCCTTCAAATGCACCCGCACAGCGGCCCCAGGGGCTGCGCTCGGCCGCGGCAGCAGCGCTCCAGGGCCGAGCTGTGCGAGATGTGACACTAAACCCACAGGCTTTAGTCTGTTTGGGAGCAATAAATGAATGTTTCAGTCTTCTTGGGATAGAAAACCACTTTTGATTGCATTGTTCTGTCGTACACTGGTTTGAAAAGACATCCTAAATACTAAACTGGTATAATTAGAGGTCCCTGTGTGTCAAAAGTCATCAAACTTCCCTCCTGCTGCTCCCACTGAGAGAATGCTGGCCTAGGGACTCTGTGCTGTTGGATTTTGGGTGAGGGAGGAGGGAGACACTTGGACACAAGAAATGGGCAAACCTCCAGTCCCAAATATTCGTGAGGGATTTGTCATCCTTCAGTAATTCCTTTTCAGTTCTGGAAAGCAGATAGCAGGAGGAGAGGGCCTAGGAAAGGAGCAATCCTTCTGTACCCCCTGCCAGGAGGGGACAGCCGGGGGGTCGGGCTCTGCTCCAAGGGAACAGGGACAGGACAAGGGGAAACGGCCTCAGGCTGGGCCAGCAGAGGCTCAGCTTGGACAGCAGCAGCAATTTCCCCATGGAAAGGGGGCTCAGGCCTTGGCAGGGGCTGCCCAGGGGGGTTTGGAGTGCCCATCCCTGCCAGGGAAGGCCTGGAGGTGGCACTGAGTGCTCTGGGCTGGGGACAATGTATGTGGGCATGGGGCCCAGCTGGGACTCCATGGGCTGGGAGAGCTTTTCCAGCCCCAGGGATTCTGGGTTTCTGTGAGAGTTCTCCCAGCAGAAAGAAAAGCCAATCCCGGAGAAAGGCCCTGTCCTGGAGCAGCAGAGGAGCAGCCCCGAGGCTGGAGGAGCCAGGAGCGGGCTCCAGGCACGGCTGCTCAGCCCTGAGCCCTGTGGGGCTGCCCAGCAGCAGCAGCAGCAGCAGCAGCAGCAGCAGCAGCAGCAGCAGCAGCAGCAGCAGAGCCCCAGAGCTGCGCTGCTGCTGCGCTGCTGCTGCGCTGCTTTGGGCTCTGTGGCTGCACAGCCCCGTGCAGCTGCTGCCGCAGGGATGTGTCAGGAGCAGCACAGAGCTGCTGCTGCTGCCTCAGCTGGGGCTGCAGCGGGGGAACCCCTCCCGCCCGGCCCAGGGCTGCTGGAGGCAGGCAGGGCTGCAGGAACAGCCCCGGCCCGGCTCCCCGGCCACGGGCAGCGGCAGAGCGGGGCTCCGCTGCCTTCGCTGTGCTGCCTGCACAGCCCTGCTGCAAAGGGCTGCCCGGCACAGCTCTCTGCCAGCCGGGCTCAGCCTGCGCCTCCCGTTTGCCTGCAGAGAGCAGCGACAGCCCTGCCCCGCCGGCCCGGCCGGGAACTCTCCCGCTGCCGCTGGGGCTGAGCCCGCGCTGCCCGCGGGGCGCTCCGTGGCTCGGGCTGGGACAGTGCATCGGCACCTCGGAGAGACAGGACACGGAATCTGGGCACTCTGCTCTGGGGCCTTACCGACGGTGTTAGCAAACACACAGATTCTTCACTAACGGGAACAGCGTGGGGGCGTTATGATGCATTGTGATTACAACATATGGTACATAAATGTTTTTATTTCATAACTGTAATAGAAATATACAATATGTAATAAAAATAAATTATCTTCTAATTTTACTTATTCCTTATATTTTCTCTTCATTTTTCTATTCTTATTCTTCTTATGGCTCTTCTTCTTCTTCCTACTCTTTCTTACTATTCTTCTTCTTTGCTACTTCTATGTATCTTTATATTCTAATTCCTATTCCTATTATTCTTCTACATATTTTAAAATTCTTATTCCTATTCTTCTTCTTCTACATATTTTGAAATTCTTATTCCTATTCCTAGTACTCTTCTTCTATGTATTACTAAATCCCTATTACTATATTCTTCTATCTACTCTTAAATAAATGTTCTCTGTCTTGTCTTTTTACTCTTCATCTTTGTCTTCTTCCTCTTTTTTCTCTTCTTCATCTTCTTCATCCTATTTGTCTTCATCTTCTTCTCTGTCTTCATCTTCTTCATCTGCTGTGTTGTCTTTGTCCTCTTTTTCTGTGTCATTGTCTTCATCTTTGTCTTTGTCTTCTTTTCCGTTGTCCCGGAGGGGTTTGTGCTGAGTCTGTTCCAGGAGCCTCTGCTTTGTGCCCAAGAAATTGTTGCTGCACCTTCCAGGCCCGGGGCAGGGATGGGAGAGCTTTGGCCTCTTTGGGTGGGCATTTTCCAAGCCTCACTGCCCAGATCTTCGTGGCTGTGCCTGCTTGGGTTTTGCTTGTCTTGGTTGGCCCACCCAAAGGCTTTTCTCTTCTCTGATTTGGAGGAGCTGCAGCAGCAATTTCTGAGCCCCTTGAGCCGAACCGATCAGCTGCTGCTCTGACACAGAGGAGCGGGACTGGCAGGAGCAGTCATCTTCATCTTCCTGTTGTTCACCTTCCTTCTCTTCATCCTCGTCACCCTTTCCCGTGTCCGTTTTACTCCTCGGTCCGTGGCCTGAGGCAGGAACAGCGGAACAGCCCCCGCAGCGCCCGCAGCGCCCGCCTGAAGCGGGAGGGACGTTTCCCGGGGGCAGCCGGCTGCCCGCGGAGGGCCTGGGCTCCCAGCCGGGCAGGCCAGGGGCTGGGGGGGCTGTGCGGGGCAGGCGCCGGCCCTTGGCTGCACGGCTCCTGTGCCGGGCACTCAGCCCAGGCCTCCCGAGGGACGGGCACTGGGAGCCCCTCTGCCACTAAAACTTTCCATTTCTGGTCTTGGTTGTCTTCTGGGGGCAGCTCCAGGAGGCTCACCTCGTCCCACTCATCATCCTCGGGGCACAAGGGCTTGGCCAAGATGACGTGCTCAGGCCAGTTCTCCTGCACGATCCCCGTGTCACTGTTGTCTTCCCAGCTGGAGAGTCCTGAGGGTCTTCTGCCATTCTCACTGGACACATTTTGGGCATGATATTCTTCCCAGTCTGAATGTTCTGCACAGCTGATGACATCTCCTCCGGACAGCACTTGCTCAATGCATTCTTCCCAGTCCGAGGGGCCCTGGGAGCTGCTGACTTCTCCCTGGGACAGGTCTTGGTCCAAATATTTTTCCGAGTCAAAGAGTTGGTGGTAACTCCTGACCTCCCCATGGGGCAGATCTTCCTCTCTGCATTGTTCACAGCAGGACGCTTCCTGGGACAGCTCTGGGTCTCCATCCGGGAAAGGCTCCAGGTCATACAAAAATTGCCAAAATTTGTTTTCCTCATCAGAGCCGTCCCTCCTGTCCTGCATTGCCAGCACTGACCCCGCTGCTGCCTCCTCAGCAGCTCCGGACGGGGCAGCAGCTGCCGGCTCGGCCTCCGTGGGACTGCCGGGGGCAGGAGAGGCGCTGGGCAGGGCAGGGACTGCGTCTGCTGCCACCTCTGTGCCCACGGGGCTGGCAGAGCTGGGCCCCTCTGGGGGAAGAGCCGTGCTGTCCTCGGGACTGAGCTTGATGGCCGCTTCCACTTTGGACTGCTCCTCAGCAGTCGGGATGTGCCGGGAAACGACCATGATGTCCTCTACTACAGGGGACAGCTTCTCCTCTCTTGTGCTGTCCCCTTCAGAGACCTCAATGTCCTCTTCCACTGAGGACAGCTCCTGGTCACTCATGCTGTCCTCTGGTATTTTCTCGATGTCTTCTTCTACTGAGGACAGCTCCTGGTCACTTGAGCTGTCCTCTGGAATGTCCTCCAGATCCTCATCCACTGAGGACAGCTCCTGGTCACTTGAGCTGTCCTCTGGAATGTTCTTGATGGCCTCTGCCACTGGGGACAGCTCCGGGTCACTTGTGCTGTCCCATGGAATATCATCAATGGCCTCTTCCACTGAGGACAGCTCCTGGTCACTTTTGCTGTCCTCTGGAATGTTCTCAATGGCCTCTTCCACTGAGGACAGCTCCTCGTCCCTTGTGCTGTCCTCTGGAACAACCTTGATGGCCTCTTTCACTGGGGACAGCTCCTGGTCACTTGTGCTGTCCTCTGGAATGTTCTCGATGGCCTCTTCCACTGAGGACAGCTCCTCGTCCCTTGTGCTGTCCTCTGGAACAACCTTGATGGCCTCTTTCACTGGGGACAGCTCCGTGTCACTTGTGCTGTCCCATGGGATGTCCTCAATTGCCTCTTCCACTGAGGACAGCTCTGGCTCATTATTGCTGTCCCCTGGAGAGAGCTCGATGACCTCTTCGACCTGGGACAGCTCCTCGTGACTGGATGAGGAACAAGTCTGGGTGTTCTTCTCCTTCACTGAGTCCAGTGGCTTCTCCAAGGAACTGGAGCTGACATCATCCTCATCTTCCCCTTGGGACAGGAGAGCCTCAGGGGGCTCCTCCTCCTCCTCAGTATCTCCAGCTGGGGCAGCAGCTGCCGGCTCGGCCTCCGTGGGACTCTGTGGGGCAGGAGAGGCGCTGGTTAGGGCAGGCACTGCCTCTGCTGCCACCTCTGTCCCCACGGGGCTGGCAGAGCTGGGCCCCTCTGGGGGACAAGGCTGAGGCTCCTCGTCCCTCACTGGGCACAAGGGTCTGTC